AAAAAAGTCAACTTTCTGGGACACAGAGTTGCATCTCTGGAGATTATATTTACTCTAAAAAAAAATGTTTCTTTCTTAAGTATAGGTTTATGCTGCCCTGCGTCTATGCATTATTATTTTGGGGAGCTGTGGACTTGTAATTGCTTAGGCAGTTGCCACCAGGAGATCAGAGGAGATGGCCCAAGGATGAAAAGCCCTAGCCATTGGGTCATCCTGGAAAATACTGTGAAAAGGGATTGGACACTTCGTTCTACATGAGGTTTTTTTTTTTTTTAAGACTAGTCAAGTACAGTAGTGAGGAGGGGGGTTAAGTAGTAGAACAAGGAGTTCAATCTGTAACTGACTGTGAACAATCAAGTGAGACAACTCACTACCTTTGGACCAGCCCTACGTGAGGTTTTATGCAAGACTGAAAAAGCCATATTGAATGATGTACTGATGTCAGACTACCATGTTCAGATTTTTTTTCTGGGGGGTGGGGATAGGCAGAGGGCAGGATGACATTCCTAAGAATGGGGTCTCCCATGAAGACAATGGCCATCCCTCCTGTCAGTCACTCTGGAAAAGGGTCAGTCCTAGGACAGGCAGGGAGGACATGGATGACCTCTCCTCAGCCTCGTGTGGGGCCTGGGGCTTGGCAGAAGGGCACTCCTGAGAGAGCCAGGTGGTCCCTCGGGCATGGAGGCAGCCTGGGAGCTGGGCAGAGAAGGGCTCAGTTGGGGCTATTTGTGAAGGGGCTTGGACCTGAATATTCAGAGGGCATCCATGTTGTATACAACATGGCCCCACAGTCTCCAGGTGTAGATTGTGTCTTCTGTCAATTAAACATTTTCCTCCTCATGTCATGCGATAGGCAACAATTTTATAACACACATAAGGCTGTATATTTTTTCAACAGTGATCAATTACACTGAGTATTTGAATATGGCAGATATGATTTGTTCTATTCTATGCAAGAGAAGTCTCCAGACAACATTTATTCTGAAATAAGATGAATCCCCAGCAGATAGATGATGCCTTCCCATTTAGGGAGTGTATTGCCCCTAATAAATTCAGCAGATGGAGGGTTGGACATTGATCTAGTCAGGCTTACCAACATGTGGTGATTTACTTTGCAGCTTTGTGAAATACTCCTTCACAACAATTACTAAGACTGACTGTTTTACTTCCTCTGACCATCAGTGTGGAAGGGGTCCAGAAGTACAGGGGAAAGTTTAAATGTTTTGCTGAAAAACGAGAGGAGCACATGGATTACCTCTAACTATTATCCCCAGGGCTTTGAGGGCCATCTATAGTACCCAATTTCATGTTATCTATACTACAGTTCCTTTCTTATCTCTAAGTTTCACGCTAGTCCTACAAACACACTAGACCTGTTTGGGCTATCACAGTGGAGCGCTGACAGGGCTCAGGATGCAGAAGGAATTCAGTGGAGATGAGTGGTGGGCTGATGCAGTGGTATCTGGATGGCAGGAGATGATGGGACAAGGACGCAGCACTGGCTGAACTATCAATAGCCGAGAAATGATTTATGAGCCATGTAAACATTCCCCTGAGACTTCCCAGAAACGCACAGGGAGGAGAACTTGATAAAAGACCATCCTCCCTGAAGATAAATGAGTTGCGTATTAAAGTGAATCGTGACCTCACAGACTGATGAAATTTGGGACATTTAAGCTACATATGTCACTTTGGGTTATGTGTTCTGTGTCACTAATCTTAGGTGAGTACTACAATGTTTTAAATATCATAGATTTTTACCTTATTTTTCTTCCCTTCCCACAAAATACTTTCTCTAGGAAAATCTTTCAACAGTAAAGGGAAGGGAAGAAAAGGGAAGTCATAATTACCGTAAATGCTTAAAGCACATAAACCTAGGGAAATTTTGAAAAATTCAACTACTAATATAAGCTTCTAGTTTCAACACAAAGGCACAGTTGCACATTCAACTGCAGAAAACATGAAGCAAAATGGGGGCTGGGATTTGGCCAGGTGACGAGACGCTGGAGTTGAGCATGGGAGCAGGAGCCGGACGTCCCTTGGGGTTTTACTTCCCTTTGAACTCTCTTGGGACCCCATCTTTTGCTCTTTCTTTCACCCCTTGGTTTTACTTTCTTCCCTGAGGCCTGGGGAACTGGATTTTTTTTGCTCAGTGTTCTATTTAAAGCTGGTCCTAGGAGTATTTTGAAGAAGGTGAACTTTCCTTCAGCCCTCATTTCTAAAATTTTTCTATTTATGAATCATTTATGAATCATTTTCCCTCCTGTAGATCAAGTTCTTCCACTTAAGTCCTGCTCAGGATCAACACTTGCTCTTTTAATATCTACTTTTGATGATTTATACTTTAATTTTAATTAAAGTCATCATGTTAACCACCTCCAACTTCTGAAACCTATGTAGAACCCCCAAGTTTTTTCCCTGTGTTAAAAGAATTTCAGGTATTAGGGAGTTTTCTTGGGGCATCTATAATCATGGTAAGTAGGTGGGTAATTTTGTGCTTCGATACAAGAGGGTAAAAAAACCAAACATAGTGTCCAAGCCTTACACTCATTTTCAATAGTTTTGTTTGTTATATTTTCTTTACATTTCCGTCAACTTAGGGCCTAACCAAAACAAAGTTTAGATCAGCAGGGCATTGCAGGTAAAAAGCTCTAAGTTTGGAAGGCAGGTGTACAAGTCTTCATTTAGTAGCAAATTACCTGTGAGATAAGTCTTTTTACCT